TAATATGACTAAGTTGATAACTAAGTTGAGCACGAAGCTCCTATCTAATGGCAGACGTGCCAGTCTTATATAGAACCTTCGTTCTCTTGTGCTAGCTTGCTAGACTCGTCGCTCGGTCGCTGCTAGACTGGTAGACCAGTCGCCCCGTCTAGCGACATATATCACGTGACTGTAACCAAAGGAAATCCTTGGATCGCTTAGCTAGTCTAAGCATCCCTATTTGCTATAAGAAACCTGGATGTGCCTGTCGAGGATTGCGCCTCTTATTATGACAAGTATCACGTGAGCACGTGATTCGTGACAGGCAGTTAAGTACGTAGAGGATTCGATGATAAATTTATATTCGATAGTAAATAATAGATTCGATTTATAATAAGAAGTAAGTAATATATAGTCCCGCGAAACCCCATTTAATATTATTAAGTATTCTCTTGTACGATTTCCTCGATTTACTTATTAGTAAATAAGTAAAGCTTAAATAAAGTTATTAGCCTTAAAATCAAATAGTATTCGATAGCCCGTATAGAGTTATTAGTCTAGAGATTAAATAGTATTCGATAGCCTTCTTCTAAATAGTATTTAATAGTAACTATAGAGTTATTAGTCCTAAGATTGAATAGTATTCTATAGCCTTTATATTATTAGTTCTAAGAATAAATAGAGTTATTAGTCCTAAAATCAATTAGTTTTCAATAACCTATATATAAATAATATTAACGAATTACTAGCGGGCTACCTCGTAGTATAACGCTAGGATATTATAAAGATCTAAGACCGTATATTTAATAGTACTTAGAGACCCCTTGTAAAGATCTAAGACTATATACTTATTATTACTCGGTAGTATCCTTAAACTTATAATCTTAAGATCTTTAATACGCTTAGCTCTACTTAGTAAGAGTATAAGAGTACTTACCTAGATATTACCAGAGAACTCTTTTAAAGCTAAGTTATAAGAAGAAAGAGATTACTAATTATACTATAGCTATTAGATAATATAAAACTATAAGTAAGTACTTTAAGACTTATACTACTCTTACTACTACCTTTAAAGAAACGCCTATTAGAGATAGCCCTAAGCTATCTAGCCTAGTATCTAGATAAGCTCTTATATAAAGATTAAACACTATAGCTTTAAGTACCTAGGTAGAATTATTTACTTACTAGAATATTTATAAATCAATATTATAAAATTAATTGTAAAAGTATAAATAATAGTAAACATTTAAGCTTATTTTATTTATAGTAAAATATAAAACAAGCTTCTTATAAAACCCCTTCTAATATTACTTACGCTACCCCTCTATTATATATTCTTTCCTACGAATTACTCTACCTAATACTCCCGCGGGAGGGGGGGGATCTAAGACTATATGTTTAGTATTACTTATTAAAGTATAGTACTCTTCGAAGTAGTAGTCTCGACGTCTTTAGTACTCGATTCAACCCTCTGTCACGAATCACGTGTTCACGTGATACTTGTCATAATAAGAGGCGCAACCCTCGACAGGCACATTCAGATTTCTTATAGCAAATGGGGGCTTAGGGTAGCTAGGCGATCCAAGGATTTCTTCCTTACAGAAGATCATGTGACTAGGGAGTATGAGGAAGTATAAGGGAGGCTTATACTACTCTATACTACCGGAGTATAAGGAAGTATAAGGAAGGCTTATACTACTCTATACTCGGACCATACGCGGGGTATGAAGGTTCTATATAAGACTGGCACGTCTGCCATTAGATAGGAGCTTCGTGCTCAACTTAGTTATCAACTTAGTTATCAATCTTATCATATTTGTTTGACATCTTTGATACAAGTAACGAGTTCACTTCCAAGTGAACAACCCGATAGTCTTCTTCTTATCATAGCATACCAACCAGCGAACACCCAGCCAAGTTTAGTTAGCCAGTTTGAGTATTCGTTACACCCTCCTTAACTTAGATCTTAGACTTTATATTATTAATAGTATTAGATAAATTTAACTTCGAGAGTAATTATACTTTTAGTTAAAGTCTTAATAAAGATATATATACTACTATAGAGTCTAAGAACTAAGTAGAGTATAGATTCCTTCTAGATAATATAGTGTCACGATTACGAAATCGTCAGGTGACATTTGGGACCATGGGCCCAGACAGCACTTCGCTGACAGGAGAACCCATTGGTATTTAACCAAAAGAAAGGATCGGGTGGCTGCATCAGGCTAGCCAGACGATCCAAGGAATTTCTCAGCGACCAGAAATCACGTGACTATATCGACTTGATCGA